AACTGTGACATGTCTGTTATGCACTGGGGAAAACACAACGTCTCAAATGCATTAAACAGCACAAGTATATTCGCTGTTTGCCATTAAGAGCTGGTTAAGAATAAGCTGCACATGAAATTATCCTGACTCACTGAACCTGGGTCAAATTATTGAGATTGAACTTAAATTGTCACTTATGAAACTGCTTTAGTCCCGATTGATATTTTAAGTTATTTCAAGTCAGGTTTTAGACTTTAATCCCCGCTTTTTCCAAATCCTCTTTGATTGACCTTGATGTTTTCGAGAAATTGCTCTTGCAGCTTTAACAGCAAAAGATTTCTCTCCTAGAATTCAAAGTCAAGAGAAAAGGCTACAGACTACTATAAAAACAATTTACAGTAAAATAATTTTATCTTTTGCCCTTTGTTCTTGAACGTCATCACACACCCATACTGTGACTGAACTATATATACCAAATACTAAAATACATTACTAACCTAACCCTCGAGAGAATAACGCACGTTTGTTCTCCCTAACCAGTTTCTCTCCATAATTAGCTTGTGGACATGTGACTGTTTTCATTTAAAGGATACTTCATGTGGACATCAGAAAGGTAACAGGAACTCATGACACTGACTTATGAGCTGTAGTTATAACTTAAAAAATGAAATCTCAATACCTACATTTATGTGTGAAGATCGAATGTTTACATTGTACATCACTGGCTGCTTTTACACACAGCATCCAACACACTTCTCTTTTTCACTTGTATTCGTTTACAATTGGGTTTTATAGCACCTTGTAGAGTTTACCTTCATATTTGTTCCATATTCATCTTGCGCTGAAACATTCTCATTATCCAGTTCAAAACTAAAATCTGCTGTAACCCATTCAGTTTAAGTTCTGCATAATCTTAATATACATGATCACAAAAACCAAATGCACAGATCAAATATGATCCTTAATTTCTGTGGACCAGATGAGACCACATACACACTTTAGACTGAAACAGGTTAGTAATATGGCAGTGTTCTGCAATCAAATAATCAAAAACAGACATTTGCAGCAGAGATGGGCACCTATTCAATCAGCAAACAGTGTTTTTATGCAAGTTTAAAGGTGCAATAGGACATCTTGAAAAATCCTAACTTTAGCCTGATAGTCCCTCCCTCCCTGAAAATCTCCATCCAAAGCCACGCCCCCTGAACGCTCACAGACAACATTACTACAATACATCACGTGTCATTCACCGGTGAGAAAACTTTAGAGTACAGTTAGTAACAGTACTACAATACCTGGAAGGAAGGTCAGGTTGTTGATGTTTGCCTGTCACTCTCACGGTCTGCGTAGAGTACGTGAACCAGGTGTTTCTGAAGGCAATCACCTATTGCACCTTTAACACTGTTAAGTCTTTATCACTGAACATTAATGAAATCAATACTTCGAGGACACTCAAGGTTGACAGTGAAACCTTTATTAATACACAAAGCACCAAAACATGAACTTAGCGCTTGCCACCAACACGAGGAGCGTTGACCTTCATGGGCTTGGCGATTTTCTGTTTGGCTGCGGCTTTAACAGGGGCCTAAAAACAACACAAACACGTTACTGACGACATGAAGGACATTCAAACGCAAAGATTTACATTTGGTTTGCAATCATGTGTAGGGCTATAAATGACACTGAGCACCCATTATTAAGAGTACTAGGTGTAGACATAGTCCTTCTACTCTATGCCACCTTATGACACAGAAGTGACAGAATCAGTCACACTGCAACGCCTCAAGGGGCAAAAAAACAATCACACAAAATACATCACTTACAAAAGATCAAGAGCTGAAGAGTAGCTCATAGCCTTCACGTTTTGTACAATTCTTAAAGAGATGGGTCACCCAAAAAATAAAAATTATCCCATGATTCCCTCACCCTCTAGTCTTACTAGGTGTTTATGACTTCTTTCAGACAAATCCAATCAGAGTTACATTAAAAACATGTCCTGGCTCTTCCCAGCTTTATAATGGCAGTGAATGTCGATATTCAATAGTCCAGCAGAAATTCAATAAACTGCGTCCATCCATCATTAAAAGTGCCTCGCACGGCTCCGGGGGTGAATAAAGGCCATCTGAATGAATCGATGCCTTTCTACAAGAAAAACGTCCATATTTAAAACTTTATAAACCCTAACCTCTAGTTTCCGCTTGGTGTCATACGCGCGAGAGAGAGTGGTGGGAGGAGCTTGGAAGAGCCAGGACATTTTTAATATAACTCTGATTGGATTAGTCTGAAAGAAGAAAGTTATATACACCTAGGATGGCTCTAGGGCGAGTAAATCATGGGCTAATTTTCATTTTTGGGTGAACTATCCCTTTAAAACCATCTCTTACCTTGGCGCTCTGAGTGGGTTGTTTCTTAGTTGCCTGCTTCGCCTTCTTGGCCTCCTTGGCAGCCCTGAAACATCGGATCAAACACCGTTAGAAAGGAAATGTTTAGTTTTGTTTGCACTCGTCTCAATGTGTTAACCAGTCACAGACCTGTGACACTCAAAGCCAATTTAAGATTTTAAGAACTGTACTTCTAAAAGAAATGTATTAACGGGTTACGTTTTTGAATCTAACATCTAGAGCCAAAAAACACACAGTCACTTATTCATACACGACCACACAATGACGTCTGAAGACCGTTAGAAAATCAACTTGAGATTAACAGATATTACATGAAAACATTGTCAATTAAAAGCATTAAAGTAGTTTAGGGAAAGATTTAAGAAAAGGTTTTTGTACTCTTCAAATCTCAGAGTGTTCTCCGAGTTCAGCTTCAATCCCAATCAAACACACCTGATCAAGCCAATCAAGCTCTTCAGAATTACTAGAAAAATACAGGCAGGTCAGTCGGAGCTAAACCTGCAGGACAGTGACGCTCCAGGGTCAGATCCGATGCGTTAAACATGCAGCGCAAACTTGTCATGAGAAGTTAACTGTGCAAAACCAGCTGCATAACCACAAAAACACACATTTGACCATCTATGACTACAAAATAAGAGCGATGGACAAAGCATAGGGAACCGGAGGCGCTCACCGGATGGCCTGCTCTCTCTGCGCTTTACGCACTTCTGGCTTCTGGTTCCTCTTGGCCAGAATCTCAGCCAGCGAAGCACCAGTGATGGCCCGCTGGAACTTCACCGCACGACGGCTGCGCTTCTTACTCACCTCTTCCTAAAGCAGCAAACACACATCTGAGCGCTCCTGATTCAATCACTCAACACGCATTACACACAAAACACCTGCTGAAAAAAACACTAGAACCGGCTCTGTAGTCATTTAAACATCTCTCTAATGCTCTAAACCGGCATCATTGCACACCAGCAGTGTTGGGCTAGTTACTCAAAGAATGTAATTTATTACTCATTAGTAGTTACTCCTTCCAAAAGTAATATTGTTACTTTACTCATTACTTTCTGGCAACAGTAATTAGTTACACTACTAGTTTTTCTTCACGCCCCACAGAAGTTGTAACTGTGTATATCTTCCACAAAATTCTTAATCTAGAATGTTACTAACGACATATTTCTGCATCATCATTTGACCAAAATCCACACTGGATCGCAGTCAGAAGTTATTACAAACACTCATTAGTGATTGAGTGACATTTAAGTAGAAGTGTTGTATTAATCTCATTGTCATGTGTAGCTTGAAGCTAATTGTCATTTCTCCGTTACCCATATACGATTATATTTCATTATGTATTTTATCAAATCACATAAGTTTGTAAGAAACGGTTTAATTTTCCAAAAATATGTTTACTTATAGTAATATAATGTAGCACATGCTGGTCAGAGGGATGTAATGCCAGAGTAAAGTACAGCCACAACTTAGACAACGGTGCTCATATCATCTTTTTTCCTGACAAAATCAATTCAATGCAATATTTCTATCTGCTGAATGTAAGCTTTTCCATATTCCAAGCTTATCCTGCTGCACTGGGGACATCACATGCATGTGCGAGTCGTGACAATTAGGAAAATAAATCTAGGAATTATTTGCTTGTTGGATTTTAAATCAGCAGGGTTGAGGCACCAAGAGTAACTAAGCTGTTTTATGGATGTAACTGTAATATTACTGAAATCTTATTAGCAATTAGTTACAGTACTAGTTACTGCACACAGGTACTTCTCAGCAGAACACGGTCAGTGGCGGTGTTCCGGAGGGTTTCTCAGACTCACAGACTGGCCCTTCTTGTGCTTGCGGCGGTACAGAACCGTCCAGTTGATCTGTCTGGGGTTCCTCTTGGACAGAAAAGCAGACTCACACTTCGCATTCAGGAACTGGAAAACCTGCAGAGCGAGAGGATCGGCATCACATTTACTCCGTTCTTACAGTCAAATATCATCTCAGACGACAACAGTTTCAACACAGGCCAGAGATGAAGTTTCTCTCAGCTCTGTAACTCAAGCGTGAAGTTAAACATTAAACACTGCGCTCTGATTAGGACAGTAGTTAGCCATCATGCTAGCACTAGGCTAAATAACCAAATAAAGACTGCCAGGCGTAAATATTCACATCACAACACGCTGAGAGTCATTAATTAATCTATAATCACTGATTAAAACACATCAGTGAAATCAAACACGCGTAGTTTGCGCTTTTACCTTTCCGTCGATCCTGGCGTAGCGCCGGCCGTGGCCAGGATAGACTTTATACCCGCTAAAACTGCACAGCTCGACCCTGCACATCAAAAATAAGAGTTATAATAGCTACATCTGACTTGTTATTAACATCTGAATACTTCTGCAAGCGCCTTTCGCGGATAACTTTAAAGATGTTTATGGATGAACACAGACTACACTCACTTCATGGCGGCGTTTCAGATAGGGAAGAGGAAAAGGAATTGTGGGTAAGCGGTTTATAAAGGAGCTTATTTCGCAAACATAAATTATTTGTTCAAAGTAAACATAAAATTGATGTATAATTATAACCCGCGTTATTATAAAAATATCCAAAATTATTATTATTTCCAGATTATTTTATCCAATCAAATAGTGGATCGGTTGCCTGGCGGTGACACAAGCGGGAAGTAAGCGGAAGTATGGCGGCGCCGGCGGAAGCGATCTTCTCCGATCTGCTGCTCCAGACGACAAATTACGAAGGTATGCGCAATAAAACCCATTCCTCCGTGAGATTGATTAGATGGGCATGTGTTTCCGTTGCAGACAGACAACATGCTTTTATCGTGTGTGCGGAATATCATGCTTCTAGCGCAGCGTGTGGAGATCCGGACGAACTTGACGTCTGATCTGTTTTTGTCATAATGTGCTGAAATCTGCCGTTATTACACTAATTAGCTGACAGGATTTAATTTAACGTTACAAATCTGCTGTTTATAAAACCTGGTCTGGTTTATTTATACTGGAAGCTTTAATCTTCGCGTTATTCTGAGTTCACACAGTATTTCTCTCCATTGGAAGTGTGTCATCAGTGTAGATGTCTCTAGCTGCTCAGTGTTTGTCCTGTGCTCTTATTATTCAGGTCCAGGTTTGTTAGACCTTTCGAATCAGGGTCTCCACAGACTGGATCCGCAGTGGTTCAGTCCCGGGGAGCTACACACGCTGATTCTGGACCAGAACCAGATCATCAAGCTGGAGCACCTGGAGCGTAACGAAGCTCTGCAGCAGGTTAGCTGTGTTCACACTAGCCTTCACCTGTGGTCAGTCCAGACGTGTGTGTGTGTGTGACCTGCTCTGTGTTCACACTAGGGGTGTGCGATATATATCGTCTGCGATAATATCGTAATTGTTGTTTTAACGATGTGCGATTTGACATT